TAGTGAGACTTAAGCATTCTGCCACCATGCCCTGCGCTGAAGAAAAACAGGATTGCTTGACTTGCGTGATACATGATATTGATGCTATATAGATACTTTGACTTTGTATCACTTGTGCTCGTGCCACACAAAGCGTATCACCCTCTCATTGATCAATCCCTATCGCCTTCGGGATCTTCGGAATGGTCTGCGCACTATCTGGCGGGTCCTGCGGTGTCCTCCCACTGCGGTGTGCCGTGTGATCCCTTCGGGGCCCGTACTCCACTCCTTTTCGGAAAGGTGCATCTCACTGATTCAATCGTTCTGCAGCCGGAACCAGCTTCTGATCAAGTGTTTTTGCGCGAGAATGCTGAAATTCAACTGCCGAGTTGCATAGAATTGTAGTTTCCACAAAGTAATTCATGTGCGTTTCTGAGTCATTCATGCATCGGTTCCCTTTTTGAGCCGCTTTTTCTCCTTCTCGCGTTTTGTCTTTCTAGGTTTTCGTTCGTTGCTAGAGGCTGGTCTTCTGCTCGTTGCTAGAGGCTTGTTAGGTTGTAGTGGAGGCTTTTTCAGAGTGCGCCGACTTACCGGCTTGTTGTGTGTGTCACACCCTGCCCCAAGGGTTGTCCACCGAATGTTTCAGCAGGGGAGTGGGGCGCGGTCTTGGAGTCACCATTCAACGAAGACACTCCTAGTACTGCGATGATATCCGGAAGGGACGCCTTCTGGACGTACCTGCTCTTTTGTGATGTTTACAAGCTGTTACTACTCCACTCTTCCTTTAGTGCGCCTGTGTTGAAACATTCCTGGTTTACGGACTTATCGCCATACAGTTCTGCAAGTCAAGGTCTAGCCGCTGCAAGGTAAAGGGCTAGTGCATTGGTGAAGCAGTTTCTGAAATAACGCTCGACCAGCTGAGCTCTCTATCTAAATGTGTGTGGGTTGTTTTGACGAGGTTGGGGTGGTTTGTAAGCCCGGCATTTCTATCGTATATAGATCTTTTTGCTACGTGTCGATGGTCCTTCTTTGCGAAGAGACTTGCTTGTTTGGTGGACTTCCCTTTTTGTGGGGATACTCAGATGACGGATGTGCAATGTATGAGACAGATTGCGCACACAAATTAATTTGTTTGTATTGTGCTACATGCAGTAAAACGGTAAAACTCATATGTCTTTCATTGCTGCCTGTACACAGGATGTCACTGCATGTTTGCCATGAATGACCTGGCAAAGGTGTGCGAATGTTTTGATTTTGGTTCAAGCTACTGCTATTGGAGCAGTGTTCTTCACTTTATTTCCTTTCATCATGTCGTTCTCCTCATTATTTCAGTCAAGGAAAGCTCGCACTGAGTTTGAGATCACGCTGTCGCGGTGCAGCTATACTGGAGCTTTCCTCTCCGTGCACGAAGCGGTCTGGAACATCAGAGCTGGAGGCCTGTCCTGGAATTCTTATGACTTCTGTGTCAACATGATGCTCATTCTGTCGGAGATCGCGCTCTTTCTCTTCAGCATAGCGTGCCAAATTGGTTTTACCTACTATTTGAACCTTCAAATGCAGCCTCCGCCTGATGTTTGCACCTTGCACACAAGCCGGGGCCTTCAGTGGCTAGGGGCAGCTGCCTTCGTCGGGAAAGTGCTCCAGGATGTATTTGAGACATGTGAGATGCTTCTTTGGTTCCTTGTCGCCGACCGCATCGAGAAGGATCTTGCAGGTGACCAACCAGAGAGCATCGAGTTAAGTGACAGGGTCGCCGGAATCCTTTTCGTGGTGCTTCCCAAATTCGCCATTGCAGGTTGGCTCACGTGGGTCGGTGCACGGTTCGTACTGCTCTCCTCAGATGACACTCAAATCATCGTGAATTGCCTTGCAATGACCTTTGTGATGGACATCGATGAGATTGTCCACAAGACCGCCTCAAGCCAGTATGTGAAGCAGAGCACAGAGCACCTTAAAGCGTGGTCCATGCCTCTCAAACCTGAATATGTGAGATTGGAAACCGTCATGGCGCCGGTCATTAAAGCTGGGCTTTGGGCGTTTGCTTGCTCGGTACTCATTGCCGATCTTCCCCGTTGCAACCAGCCTCCAGGGCCTCCAGGGCCTCCAGGGCCACCCAACCGATAGTGAGACTTAAGCATTCTGCCACCATGCCCTGCGCTGAAGAAAAACAGGATTGCTTGACTTGCGTGATACATGATATTGATACTATATAGATACTTTGACTTTGTATCACTTGTGCTCGTGCCACAAAAAGCGCATCACCGCATCACGGCCGTCTCGATATCCGACCGGACTCGTCCGATGGGTTGCTGTGCTCGCGATCGGCGCGGTGGAGGAATCCATGAACAGACTGTCGGGTGAAAGTTGCGGTTTGCTTTGGTTCGCATGGCATAGCATATCTGGAGAAGTTGCCTTTCCTGGCAGAGCAGACTTTTAGACCGGGACCATGGCCAGGCTACGGCCGAAGCCTGGCGACCGCCTGATGGCAGCGTGCGCCCGGTCCGGTGCGCCCAAAACACGACGGTCTACGCCACGGCCGAACCTTGAGGGATGGCCGCGCAAGGTTCGTTTTTGCGTGGCCGCCTTCACGCCCTCTGCATTGACGAATGATCTGATGTGGACTGTGAAACTCAGCAGCTTTTGGCCGTGGAGACATGTTATTTTCTGAGCTCCCCCAAGCCATGAAGGATGAATATTCCTGACTTGTCCAAACCCGCGTTCGATTGTGTTTTAGCATTCCGGATGAACTGTGAAGTCACTTCAAATCCAGCTTTACTTTCTTGAGTTTCTGAGGTTTGAGAGCCCTTACGGGCGCAAATTGACTCGAACCCCCCACAGAGGATGCTGCCGCTACCCCAGTCAGATCAGGATGTTGAAGATCCAACCAGTTAGCAGGGCCGTCATTGCAATTTTAGAAATGAAGAAGGCATCGGCTTCGGCAATTTTTATTGTGGTTCTTGATTTGGGTGTTGACAGGTATACCCGTATACCCGGAAAGGTAGGTTTGAACATGATTGAACTGCTTACTTTTCTCTTTTCTGACATAGATTCATCAAACCAAACTTGAACTGTTTACTTTTTTCCTGACATAGATTCATCAAACCAAACTTGAACTGTTTAATTTTTCCTGACATAGATTCATCACACCAAACTTGAACTGTTTACATTTTTTCCTGACATAGATTCATCAAACCAAACTTGAACTGTTTACATTTTTCTCCTGACATAGATTCATCAAACCAAACTTGAACTGTTTATATTTTTTTACCTGACATAGATTCATGAAACCAAACTTGAACTGTCTATATTTTTCTCCTGACATAGATTCATAAAACCAAACTTGAACTGTTTACATTTTTTCCTGACATAGATTCATCAAACCAAACTTGAACTGTTTACATTTGTTTTCCTGACATAGATTCATCAAACCAAACTTGAACTGTTAACATTTTTTCCTGACATAGATTCATCAAACCAAACTTGAACTGTTTACATTTTTTCCTGACATAGATTCATCAAACCAAACTTGAACTGTTTACACTAGTTTTCCTGACATAGATTCATAAAACCAAACTTGAACTGTTTACATTCTTTTCCTGACATAGATTCATCAAACCAAACTTGAGCTGTTTACATTGTTTTCCTGACATAGATTCATCAATCCAAACTTGAACTGTTTACATTTTTTCCTGACATAGATTCATCAAAC